GAAGAGGGGGAACGGGATCTGGTTATCATCATTTTTCATTAATTACCCGTCCCTCAGGAGGGGTGAATTAACTCTATTTGGTGACCTCACACGGGCTGCCATGGCAACCGCCAGAAAATATTGCATTAGAGCCCATCACTATGCTGCTGAGATAAGGAGCCGGGAGGGACGGGGGTGGTGTGAGCCCCCCAGCCCGGCCCCCCACATGGTGGCACGGACACCCTGGGCGATTGGGGGTGCAGTCCACGATGATGCTGTGGAGCCCCAAAATAACCCGTCCTGGGTGCGCCACCAAAGGGTGCCTCAACAAAAGGGTATTTTGCACCAAAAGGTGCTTCTGGGGTGGGATGGGTGCACAAGCTGGGGAAGCTGTTACACCCCTGGCTGAGCTGTGAGCTATGGGTGTAGGGCCCGCTACAGGGGGCAAATTTGGGGGTGTCATGTCATTTTGGGGCTGGCAGGGTGTCCCGGGGCCTCCCAATGTCCCCTGTCCCCTCTGGCTGAGCCCGACAGAGCCCCAGAAGGTGCCGTGGGCTGGGGGAGGTGTGTAGTGAGAGAAAGGATCCGGCCCCTTCCCAAACCCACTTGGCCTCATCCCAAAGTCCCCCCTCCCCCCAGCAGCAGGGCAGTGGCACAGGGTGCACACCAGGCTTGGTCTCCCCAAAAATCCCCCCAAATCCTAGTGCAAAATCCCCCGAATTTCCGCCACCTGCGGTGCTTCCCAAATCGGGGCTCAGCCCTGAACCCCCTTCCCCTCCGGCTGCCGCGGCGGTGCCAGGACCCCGAGCAGAGCCGGGCTGTGCCGGGACCCACGGCGGCTCTGACCGACTTCTTGTCCCTTCAGGTCACCCACCCCAGCTCCCGGATCTCTCTTTTTTTTTTTCCCCTTCCCTGCACATCCCTGGAGCATCCCACCATCCTCCGCTGCCGCTGCCCTGGCAACCGCCGCCCCAGCAGCCGCCCCCCCAAATCTCTACCCAAAGAGGGGACTGGGGTGTCCCCAACACGGCAGAGGGGAGCTCGTCTCGGGGCTCATTCACCCCCGAGAACGGGGGTGTCCCCGCGGTGGGTGCAGGGAGCCAGCGGTGCTGCAGCACCCACCTCCGCGCTGGGTCTCCACCAGCTCCTTGGAAATGGGTCATTCCTGGAGCTGCCAGGAGACCGGGGGGAGGAGGGGAAGGAGCCAAGCGGGGTGATGTCCCAGTGACATCCCCGGAGGGGACAGTCCCCCCGTCCCGGAGCCGCTGAGGGGACACGGACGTGGCTCCTGCGCCCGGCTGAGGCCACACCACCAGGTGCCGTGTTGTGACCACGAGGGTCCCCAGCCCCAGCAGCTGCCGCCACACCGTTCCCAGGGGAGTTTTGTGGGGCACCCCCTGCGTGGGGGTTCCCCCGCCCCCACCGCCCAGCCAACCTCCAGCCCCAGTTCCCATTCTGGCGTGGGGCCGTGGGTCAAGTCACTCCAGCATGAGCCTCCGCTCCCCCGCACCATCCTGGCAGCCCCCCGGCAGGACCCCCTCATCCCTGGCAAACCCCCCCAGACTCACTCAGGCCTCCTCCGGCTTTGGGGTCGGGTCGCTCTGCAGGACCGGGGCACTCGCCACCCGGGGATGTGGCCCTCTCCTCCTCCGCTTCCTCCTGGAGCCTGGGGGCAGAGGAGGGGTGAGGGGGGGAGTGGGGGTGCATCGCGGGATGCAGCCAGCTGAGGACCCCCAGGAGATGGAGACATGGATCCTTGAGCTCTACCAGGGTTTGGGGACAGTGATCTCATGGCAGGGGGAGTCCGAGGGCACCCCACTCCCCACTGAGCCCATCCTCTGCCCCACACCAGCTCCCATGGGTTCCCCAGGAGCCCCCAGCACCTCAAATCCAGTGGGAACCCTCATTCTGGGGCAGAGTCCCCAGACCCAACTCCACCATTCTTCATGGCCACCCCCACCATGCCCACCTGGCTCCATGTCACCATGTCCCATATCCCCATGCCCCCCCAGCCCCATTCCCCCCATCCCCAGGGACTCACCGGTACTGGAAGGGTGCCACGGTGGCGGTGACTGGGTGGCTGTGGGGGGGGCCTGAGGAGAAGGTGATGGCCCCTGACCCGAACACGGGACCCCTGCCCTGAGAGCCACCATGAGCCTCATCCCCTGTCCCAGCTGTAGCCATCCCGCTGCTCCTCCCGGTGGACCCCCCTGGTCGCCCCCCACCCCTGCCCTGCGCTGGGGGGGCTTTGGGCAGCTCAGTGGGCTCCCCCACCCTGCTTGCCCCTCTCCTTCCACTGCCTGCTGCCTCTGGCCACTTCCCAGGGGACACCAGGGGTTTCACTGGGGCTTTCTGCCCCCCGCGGGGGTGCATGCTGGGGCTGCCCTCCCTGCTTATGGCCGGCTCACGGCCGGCGGCTCTGCCAGCGCTTTTGGGCTTGAGGGTCTTGGGGCCAGGGGCCAGCAGCTTCCCTGGTCGGGGGGATGGAGCCCCAGGGGGCTCTGGGGTGCTCGGGGTGGCTGGAGCATGTGGTTTGCCATGGGCCACGGCACGGGGCACTGGGATGGCAGAGGTGTAGTGGCTGCGGCCGGCAGGGTTGACGTTGGCCATCCCGTTCATCCTGGTGAGGCAGCTGCTGTCGAGCCTGTGGGGCGAGAGGAGGGTTGAGTGGGGCCTAGCACGGTGAGGGGCTGGCATGGGGACACAGCCACTTCCCTTCAGCCACGCTGGACCCTGGTCTTGACTCCCACCAACCATGGGTGCTCAGTGTCCCCATCTTGGAAGGAGGCTACCGCATCCCACACCCCAGGGTGAGGACATATGTGATGTCCCCCCACAGGGATCCCCAGGGCCAGGGCACATGTGACATCATCCCCCAGGGACCCTGTGCGGCCCCATCCCCGTGTTCCCAGGTCCCTATGGCAGGTCCTGCAGCAAGGCCACATGGGCACAGACCAGGTAGAGCTGCACCACAGGCAGGATGGCCCCTCTTGGCCACCCAAAACCACCTCCTGGTCAAACAAGACCATCTCCTGGTCATCCAATACCAGCTCCCAGTCACCTGAGATAATTTCCCAGCTACCAGAGACCATCTCCTGATCAGCCAAGACCACCTTCCAACGGCGTAAGGACCAGCTCTGTCACCCTATTCCTAAGACCATGATTAGTGTCTGAATGCCATCTCTGCTCTCCCCACCACCGGTGTCCCCTTACGTGGTGCCATCAGCCCCATGTCTCCATGCTCCTGCTCTCATATTGCCCCATGGTGACTCTTCCTGGCACCACCACCCAGACGATGCCCCACGTCTCCTTTGCCTTGGTGTTTCCATCTCCATGCGAATAAGGACGGGGACTCAGCACATCACCACATCCAACCCGAAGCACCCACAGGCAGACGGGGCTGGCTTTGCCACCACTGGTGACAGGGACATCTGCACAGTGGCAGTGAGCGGAGAAGTTACCCTACATGCAGGCTTTGCCCGGGCAGAGAGAGAGAGCTCAGCAAGAGAATCAGTTGTGGAGCAAAACTCCATCTCCAACCACCTCCCGCCTGCAGCTCTCCAAGAAAAAACCCCAAAACTTAAAAAAAAAAAAAAAAAAGTCCTGGCCAAAAGCAGAAGAGGTATTAAAAAAAAGCCTGTATGTGTGTTTAGAGAAAAGGTCATTCATTTTTCATCTGTAGGGAAATACATGCACGAGAGCAGAATCTGGGTGAAAGCTTTTTTCTCTTACCCTATGAAACTATTATTTTTCCTTTTTATGCATATATAGCTAAGTTTTATAAATGTTAGCTAAAGCATCTTTTACTGTTTCTAAGCACATTTTCATTGTCTGCAAATGCTTGTTCTCAGATTACAGAATGAGCTTTGGCTCTAGGTTATTGCAGGTTTGTGTTGATTCAGTGGGAAAGACGTGCTGTGAAACCTTCCCGATGTGATTGTTGAAGCAAAGTGAGAGTCAGTTGATTGGTTTGTGGAAGAAAGTAATGATAATCCAAAAAATTGCTACAAATCTCAGTGTCCCTGATACTGCTTTTAAAAAAAAAATTGATTAGATTAAGAATCAGACGGGTTTAATATTTTTCCTAGAACTTTTTTTTTTTTTTTTTTTTTTTTTTTTTTTTTTTTTTTTTTTTTTTTTTAAAAAAAAAAAAAAAAAAAAAAAAAGGTTTTCTCCAGGGTTTGGAGTTGTATCTAGAAAGACAGGGAGATGTGGCTCCATGAGCATCTGTGCCAGGCTCTGCCCCCTCGCCCTGGTACAGCTGCCGTGAACCGAAATGCAAACGGGCACCGGGTGCCACAAAACTCCCAGGACACACATCCTGCTCCAGTGTGGTGTCACTCAGCCTCCTGGAAGGAAAACCTCTAGGAGGGGAGCAGAAGCACCCTTGGAGGGGGGGGACCCTCAGCTCCAGGCCAGACACCCGCAGTCCCCGTCACCCCCAGGGGGTTCCTCTCCCCCGGCGCTGGCTTCGGGCCGGGTGGGTGCCGCCAGCACAAGCGGGTCTTTGTGCGGCCGCGCTGGCGAGCGTGTCTGGGGCCGCGCTGGAGCTGAGCGAAGCCCGTCCCGGCGGGCTGGGGGGGGACGCTGCTGCCCAGGTACGGGGCTGCACACAAGCCGCTCTGTTTGCAGCCCGGGGCCGACAGCTTGGCCGCCTTTCAAACCGCCCGGCCGAGACGGAGCTTCTCCGGAGCTGGAGAAGGTTTCTTGGCAAAGCGTGGGGTGCAGGGGGATGGCTCCCGTCACCCCCACGGGAACAGCACCCAGCCTCAGCCTTGCACCCGTCACATCTCCCAGCAGAGGCTGTTGCATGAGCAAGGTCCAAAAATGCCCCCAAACACCCCGTTTTGTCTCTTTCCCCAACTACCCCAAGCCCTGCTCCCCTGAGGCTTTTCAGGGGCTGCAAAGACCAAGCCTTGCCCCACATCCCCCACAGCGACACTCCATCCCCCCACCCTGGGGTGGCCGTGTCCCTGCCACAGGCAGCACTGGGGTGAATGCACCCGAATTCCCTTTTGCCGGCCCCACATGAGCTGGATCACTTGATAACAGAGCCACGGGTCACGGGGAGAAGGGCGGATGCAGCAGACAAGATCTAAGCATCTCAGCGCCGGCTCCAGCGCCAGCTCCAGGAGCTACAAAGATTTTTTCAAGGAAATTTTAATTAAGGGGAAGAGGGAACCGGCACACACAGCTCTGGGCTTGCTCTTGCTGAAGTCTTTGAAATGGCCGGGAAGGTTTTTCTCTCTCCTCATGTCTCTGCCTCTGCTCACCACCGTCATGGCCCTGAATCACAGCAGCACTGGATGAAGTCCCCAGGACAGGGATCTCGGGGGTCTCTGGGACAGATCTGTCCCCAAGCCACTGCGTGGGGTGAGATGGAGATGGGCAGTAGGGATCTGCCACCCCCGTGCTGGCAAATAGGTCTGGACCTGGCTGCTGTGCTCAACCACAGACCCCAGCGAGGGTGGCGTGGGGTGATGGAGTGGGGTCTCGCTGGTGCTGGGCAGGGGCAGGACCTGCACAGGAACCCTGTGCTGGCACCATCCAACACCCAAAGGTGCTGCAGAGCGGGTGACAGGAGCCAAGCCGGGGCTGTGTGGGGCTCTCCCTGCACCCACGGGATTTCCTTGCATCCACAAAAGTCACTCCCGGGAGCAAGGTGGCCAGGGCTCAGCACCCAGCACCATCCAGGAGCTGGAGCCCAGCACATCCCCAGGACCACAACATTCCCAAACCCCTTTTGCAGCCCACCCAGCAGAAAATGCCAGCAGCAATCAGTTGCCCCCAACCCATCAGCCCTTTCCCAGGTTGTGCCCCACAACCCACACTTACAAACTCCAATTCTGCACTTTTTTCCACGCTCTTCAACCCAGCCCCTTGCCCCAGGAGCGCAGTGCCTGGCAGCAGAGCAGTTCACAGAGTTCACAGCCTCGAGCTGCAAAATACCTTGTGCAAATGCCACCAGGGTCGACCTTCCTCCCCACCTAAGCACGAGCCTGCCCGGGATGGGGGCCAAGAGCCAGCAAAGGTACAGCCTCACCAACACATGTGGTTAAACCACCAGCCCCTACTCACCTATTTCACCCTTGAAGTCCCTTGCACAAACATCTCCAGCCCTGGGGACAGCTGCTGGTGGGTTTTCTCCTAATGTGAAGGCACATCATCTGCCCCTGCCTCCATAAAGCTGGACCCAAGCTCCTCTTCAACCAGCTCAGAGGCAAAGAGAGCTTTACGCTTCACCAGCACCCTCTGAGCATCAGCAGCATGCAACACCCCTCCAGCCCCGCCTGCTCACTGGGCATCACCTGGTTATATTGGGACTGTAACCTGATTTTATAGATTTTTTTTTCAGTCTATTCACTGTGGGTTTCCCTCTCATGGACACAACTTCCATTTCTCCCCTCTGAGCCCACCAGCAGCCACTTGGCTGCGATGCTGTGGCTGCAGAAGCCTAAGCTGCCACGTTGGCTGCAAAAAAAATCAATCCTCCTCTTGTTCTCGCAGGGTTGAGGTTTCCCAGGAGATGCCAATGCCTGCCAGGAGCCATCGTCTCCCCACAGCACACACTTCAGTGGGTCCAAGGATACCCATCGCTTCACTACACTCAGCTGAGCATGAGCGGCCCCTCCATGGGCTTCACCCTGCTTTAGAGATGCTGAGGGCTTCCCCGGGGCTGGGCAAAGGGAGATGTGGATGTGGCCCCGCTTTCCCAGCCCATAACACCAGCAGAACTCTCGGGACCCACACTCAGGGATGTCACCAAAGGGATAAACCAAAGCAACTCCCACCGAGTCCCTATTTCCCCTCCTCAGCCCCAGGAGGAGCTGCTCCTGCACTAAGCAGCCCTCTACTCATCCCATTATTTTATTAGCGAGCACAAACTAAAAGCATTCCCGGGAGAAATTTGACCCTTTCTTCTTTGCAAAAAAATTCTCCATTTGCCTCCTTCATTGTACCCCACCCCTCTGCCCCACGGGCCAGGTAACCCCCGGTGTGTGCCCCATGTGCCGTGGTGGCAAGGGAGCTGGCGTCCCGCTAAAGCAGGTTACGGCTTGACCTAGATAGACACGGGCAGCTCCTTTGCAATTATCTTGAAAGGGAAATGACTTTCTCCTTTAATGCAACCCAGCCGCAGGGCCTCCCTGTCCCCAGAGCAGCTCTCGGGAACCGGCTGTCACTCGCCCTCCGGGTAGCTTAAGCGCCAGAAATTTGCACCCGGTGTTTTAATTCTGGGACTTCCAGCCACCAGGTGGGTTTTTGGCCCCAGCCCCTCCCCAGGTACCAGCTTGGGATCGTTGCGTCCCGTGGTGGTGGAAAGCAGCAAATACACACAAGGTATTTTAGCAGCAGGGCATATTTTGGAGAAGCCGTGGCAGTGCTGTGGGCGCTGGGTCTGAGCTTCCCTGGGCAGCCAGAGGTGCTTGTCTCCTGCTCAGGTGGAGGATGCTTATCCCCAGCTACCTCCAGAGCTCAGGTCTGGAGCACTGGGCCAGTATCTACAGGCTCAAAGCTTTTCCTGAACTCAAGTTTTCCCTGAATTAAAGACCTTTAAGCCCAGAGACGAGGTGGTTTCTGATCCCTTCAGATGATGCTGTCCACAGAAACAC